TCATCCCAAGTTTTACAAGTTCTAGTTTTGTTTATAATTTTCCATTTTACTTTTGGTGTTTTATTCATTTCCTTTAAATGCCAAACATATTTAGATAGAGATGTCTGATTTCTTTTATTAATATTGTTGAAGGAGCACTTATGCTGCCTCCACCTCCATAAATAAACAATAGACATGAGTTACCAGTTTTTTGCCGACATCATCAAATTTTCGCATTAAATAATTAGCTTAAAAAACAAACAAACAATAGAATAATAAATACAAATTTTAAACTCCATAGTCTAAATAAAAGTTTAATAGCCCTAACCAATAAAAAAAAAACTTTATAAAGTCGCCAAAAAAACAAATATTAGCGAATTATGATAGTTTTTCAGGGGAAAAAAATAAAATAAAATAAAAAAATAAATAAATCTCCATAGACACTTAACCAGACAAGACGATGTCATCTTCCGCTCTGAATTTAGACACCCCCAACCTTACCCTGACTTGACCTGAGATATTGATACAAATTATTAACCCTTACGCCCTTTTTTTTTTAAATAATTGCTCTAGCCGTTACCATAGTAATTTTAACTTTAATAATGAATATGCTTATGAAACGCGTAAATTTCAAGAATTAGTTATTCAAAAAAAAAAAAAAAATTGCTTGAAGATAGAACAGAGCTTGGTACTTTAATTCAATTTAATTCAAATAATTATATTAAAGTTTACGGCTCTTGTTTTGAAACATGAGAACTCTTATGTAGCGATGGAATGATATTTTTAAATAAATAATTATATTTATGCTCTACTTTTGTATCGAGCACTATTTTTTAAAAATAATAACAAAAATCCTAAAGAACTTTGGATTATTTACCTAACGAGTTCTTTCCTATTTTCTATATATTTTCACACACACACACACACACACACACACACACACACACACACATAATATATATATATATATATATATATATATATATATATATATATATTATATCGTCTATATTTAGGCAGCATATTTTCATTCAAACAGGTCTTGTTAAATAATTTAAACATATCATGTCGGTTAGTTTCCGTTGTGATCCTTTGTGATCCTTTCAAGTTCACGGATTCATTTTTTGGTTGACTTAGAAAATTGAGTAAGAAAAATACCAAACTTTTCTCTCAATTAGTTTTTATTTTCCCAAGTACTTCCAATCTGAGACCATCTTCTGAGGGTTAAGTTGTCTGTGACTATTTATGTGTTTCAGTGAATTTTAAACATTTCAAAAAAAAAGGATCACAACGAAAACTAATGATATATATATATATATATATATATATATATATATATATATATATATATATATATATATATAATGACAAACAAACACTTAAAAACTCAATGGATCTATATCCTCTTGGAAATTCCATACAGATTACCAATAATTTTATTATATATATATATATATATATATATATATATAAAAAACAAACTTCCATTCTTAGATGACCTCGTTGAATACAGCAATAACACTTTCATTACATCATTATACAAAAAAAACCACCAGCAAAAACTCGTGCCACCTTACCTTCAAAAGCGAATGTCTACTTAGGTCCAAAATAGCAGTAATAAAAAACTTTCTAAATAGAGCACACCAGAATTCATCCTCTCGACTACTCTTCCTCAAAGAACTTAATGATGTTAATCAAACACTAATCAACAACGGCTTATAGACCGAATTAAACTAATTCTCCTCAAAGCAAGTAATAACGCTAGTGAACACACAGCCAAAAATTATATACACATTTATTACAAAAACTAAATACATATTAATTACAAACAAGACGAATCTTCTCTAAGGCATATTATAAAGAAATATACTACTCCAATTGACCCGAATAAAAAGATCAAATTAACTATATATTATAAAAAATTTAAGACAGCTTACCTTATCCTCAAAAATAACAACACACCAGCTAAGTCAAAATTACAAAGAACGAACATTATCTATGAGTTCAAATACCCCTTAAGGAACTGTGTTCCTGATCAAACCGGACTCATTAATAATTACATCGGTTACACAACCACATGCTTATCCAGACGTCTTACGTTACACCTATCTGATCGCAGCTCTATTAGAAGCCATTTAAACGCACACACAAATTTAACAGACTCCATTAGAAACATACTAGTAGAAAACATAAATATATTAATTGCATCCACCTGCAAAAAAAAAAGACTAAAAATAATGGAAGCTTTAATAATAAAAAAGAAAAAGCCAACTTTTAACAATATTAACTACGAACAAATCCACAATGTGCTAACCGTATTCGGAAATTAAAAACATTCCTACCACACACTAAGACATACACAGAACGCACACACTCAATTAAGCTGAAAAATCGAATCATCCTTGATAATGGCTAAAGGTATAGCCGAAAGCGCTCGGAAATATAAAACATTTAGACAGTTCTTACACACCCTTTGTCCAGAAAAAAGAAAGCTCTTGTTCGGACACAAGAAAAATTAAATAAAAGCTTAACCGTAGTACCTTTGTCTGTCGTTTGTAATGAAACATGCATAAAAGGAAGGATTTCTGTCTAAATATACAACTATATATATATATATATATATATATATATATATATATATATATATATATATATAACACTAATAAACTTATAAATGTAAGCAGCTTTACTCGTCCGGCAAAACCTTAGGTGATTTAGCTTGTGAATGAGGAAACTAATACCCAAGTAAAAAGGGTTAAAAAAAAATGTAAGAACTAAGAACACGTACATCCGGCGAAAATAATATATATATATATATATATATATATATATATATATATATATATATATATATATATAGTATATATATATATATATATATATATATATATATATATACTTTATATATATATATATATATATATATATATATATATATATGTAAAGTAGTATATTATGGGGAATAACGATATATAATTTATGTAAAGAACAATATCAGAAAAGATGTTTGACAATGTGGAAAAGGTTTTCTGTGTGACACGTTTCGTCCTTTAGGACTTCATCGGACTAAAATTTGTTTTGTCGGTGCGACTACACATGCGCAGAAACGAGGGATGCTGGGAATCTTAAATTTTAATTTCTTTTATTTTAATTTTTTTTAATCTAGCCGTTTTCTTTAGATTCTTTTACTTTAAGTTCCCATCACTTTCTTTTATTAGATAGCCACTACAATGTGACAATAGAATTGCACTCAGAATTTGCAGCTCTCAAAAGAAATAGGAAGAATACATTGAAAACACTTTCAACCTAATTATTTTATATTCAAAGTGAAACGAAAGGCTCATAAAATATTCCAAATTTGTATAAGGACGAACGAAAGTCATCTGTCTAATAGATATTTTTATTGGTTTCTATAGTGAAGTTAAGTATAATTCAAAGCTCTTATCAAAATACAGTGCTGTTCAATAAAAGTGACTCACCTGATTTTTTTTTTTTTTACTAAATGTTCTCTTCTCCGATGAAACGAAAGTTGAGTTAAATTTAAAGGATAAGCGATCTAAAATCCGAAGAAGAAGCTTTGAAAGCTCTTTGAATTTAGCAGTAAGTTCTGTCAAGAATCCGTTCAGTATAATGTTCTGGGGATGCTTTTCTTTTCATGGAACTGGTTTCTTAAAACCTATTGAAAAGACCCTCAGGAGTGAGCAGTACAAGAGAATTTTAGAGTGTTGTCTGCTCCTTTATGCTGAAAGGGTGCAAATCGACCCCACCAAGCTCTTTTTTATGCAGGATAATGTTCCCTGTCACAAATCAAAATTGCTGTAAGAATACTTTGATGAGAAGCAGATGAGTGTTATGACATGGCCGCCCCAATCTCCTGACCTCAACCCCATAGAAAATTTATGGAGCATTATAAAGTAGAGGCTCTTGAGAAAGCAGATGAGCCACATGCACTACAAGGCAACATTTAACATTCATTGACCGAGCAGCCAGTACTGTTTTCAGTTGAAATTTATAAAATCATTCTCTTAAAATAATTTTTCAAGAAAGGTTTTTCAAGTCCAGTAACTTATATCACTCTCTCCAGTATTTCCTAATCATTTATCTGGGCTAGTGTGGAATATCAACATCTTGATTATGTCATTATTTTCTATTTGAGTTACATGCGTTTATCATTGTCGTTGTTGTGGTTTCCGTTATTTGATACAGTTCTTTGTTAGTGATTCTGTAGCGCCATTGCACGATGTTCAAAGAAGAAGGATGACCTTTGCCAAGATCCACAGGTTTCAGTTAATCAAAGCCATCGTTCAGAGAAAGCAGTTGTATATAGCTGAAAGTTTAGATATTTCTGAAATGGTTTATCGCCATGCATGACATCTATATGAAAGTGCCGATCTGACGAGGCTATTTAAAACATGGCTCGAGGTTTCAGGTTAATGTTTTTTGTTTTTTTTTAGAAGTTTGAAAACAAGGGAATGAAAGTGTGATCATCCAATTCAAAAAGATAAAAGATGATGATGATAGAATTTGAAAAGAAATGAAAGAAAGAAAGAAAGAAAGTGTGATGATAGAATTTGAAGAGAAAGAACGAAAAAAAAAGAATGATGATAAAATTTGAAAAGAAAGAAAGAAAGAAAGAAATTAAGATTGATGATAGATTTTGAAGAGAAAGAACGAAAAAAATGAAAAAAAAATCGATGATAGAATTTGAAAAGAAAGAAAAACAGAAGAGTCCTGATAGAATTTGCAAAGAAAAAAGACAGAAAGAAAGAAGGTAAGAGTGATGATAGAATTTGAAGAGATAAAAAAAGAAAGAAAGTGTGATGAAAGAATGTAAAATGAAAGAAAAAAGAAAGCAAGTGTAATGATAGAATTTGAAAAGAAAGAATGAAAGTAAGATTGATGATAAAATTTGGAAAGAAAGAAAGAGTGATTATAGAATGTGGAAAAAAAGCAAAGAAGGAAAGAAAGAGTGATGATAGAATTTGAAGAGAAAGAACGAAAAAATGAAAGAAAGATCGATATCAGAATTTGAAAAGAAAGAAAGAAAGACAGAAGAAAGAGTAATGATAGAATTTGGAAAGAAAAAAGAAAAAGACAGAAAGAAAGAAGGTAAGAGTGATGATAGGATTTGAAGAGAAAAAAAGAAAGAAAGAAAGTGTGATGACAGAATTTGAAAAGAAAGAAAAAAGAGAGAAAGTGTAATGAACGAATTTGAAAAGAAAGAATGAAAGTAAGAGTGATGATAGAATTTGGAAAGAAAGAAAGAAAGAAAAAAAGAAAGAAAAAAAAAGAAAGAAAGAAAGAAAGAAAGAAAGAAAAAGAAAGAAAGAAAGAAAGAAAGAAAGAAAGAAAGAAAGAGTGATTATAGAATTTGAAAAGAAAAAAGAAAGAATGATGACAGAATTTGAAAAAAAGAAGGAAAGATTAATGATAGAATTTGGAAGGAAAAAAGATTGTAAAAATGATTGTAGAATTTGAAAAGAAAGAAAGAAGGAAAGAAAAAAGTAAGAGTGATGATCGAATTTGGAAAGACAGAAAAACTTAGGAGCAACGAAGTGAAAATGGAATTTACGGCCAAAAGATTCTCGTATTTTCTTCAATATATTCATAAAGAGATATGTAAATACAGAATCTACAGTGTTTGTCTCTATTAATAGTTTCTAAAACGAACTGATTAACCGCCATATTGTAGAGACTGTAGATATAGGATGGAGAGGGACAGAGAAGGAGAGGTAGAAAGCTTATTAATCTCATCGTTGTAGAGAATCAGCCATCTTTATAGTTATTGATTCTCGATGCAGACGTAATCGTCACAATAGTTGTCAATGGCGTCCGGTCGGAAAATTAAAACGCCAGTCTAGAGATCAGCATCATCTAATTTAAAATATAAATAAATAAAACGTTCAGAATTCAACATTGAAAATATATATATATATATATATATATATATAAAAGCGGTTAAAATTATCCGAGAAATGAGGCCTGTACTTTTGACTGTAGACAAAGAAACGGAAAACCTCCGGTAGAGTTTTTTATTTTATTTTTTTAATAAAATAAGTATTTACAAAATGGATACAGAAGTAATTAAAGCTTGCTTTTATATATATATATATATATATATATATATATATATATATATATATATATAAATCGATTCTTTTGATTTCATTTGAACATAGGAGCTGCGTTCGAAAAGTATCAGACTTTATTTATTAATGCCCGAGGGCAAAATCCTTTGGGTAGGAAATCAGGCCACTCTTTCTGCGCACGCGTTAAAATTTTTTGCGTTAGTTTCCGGCTGTACGGCTAGAGTACAGACGTGTAATGCACGCTTGTCGGATTTTCGTTTTCACGCAAGCATCGAGCAAAGATATTGCACCAAGCTTTCCTGATCAAGAAAAACACACCGCTTGTTCAACAGTCTTTCCTACTCTTCCAACTTAGAACCGCGTGACTTCTGGCTCTTACCCAATCAGAAAACCATGCGATTTCCATGCGAAGTTGCTTCTGCTACTCCGCCAGCACCTTGGCGACGAATTTGGCTGACATTCTCCGCATGCACAAATCATCCGTTAAAATGGAATGCGCTGAACCTGTACTTATTCCCGCTTCGTAAGCAATGTCCTGGATTGTTACACGACGGTCTTCCATGACTATTCTCGAACCGTCGAAATCGGCTTCTTGTTGAGTCCTCTGGGTAGCCTGCATGAGTGTGCCTCGTTCGCCACTGAGATAGTCATCTTTGAAGCGGTGGTATCACACCTTGATCTGAGTTTTTCCCAAGGTATATTCGCTAAATGTCTGTTGAATTTTCTGGATGGATTGAGCTTGAGTATCACCAAGCTTTTGGCAAAGCTTGATGCAATATCTCTCTTTGAAGTGTTCGGTCATCTTGTACGTAAACGAAAATTCGACTAGCGTCTATACTCTCGGCGCAACAGCAGCGAACTGACGCGGGCTACCGGCGCAAAAATTTTCACGCAAGCGCAGAAAGGGTGGCGGTGAATAAACAAATGAGGATACATTTTTTTTTTAACTAACCTCGTATAATGAAACTTTTTTTTCTCCCTTTTTGACCAATTGAAATTATAATTTTGATTAATATTATATCCTGTTTAGTCCGGGGGGGGGGGTCTGACTGTTTCACTGACTACAGTGAATTGATTTCGAAATGTCAAGTTCGAGAACATAATTTTCAGTAAAAAAAAAAAAGCCGCTTCATATATTTTACACATTATAACGCGCTTAAAAAACCAAGTGAAAGAATGGCTGAATAATTTTTATTTTAATCATTTGTTGTAATCAAAAAGACGATTCAAAACAAAAGAAAAAGATGGCCATTAAAAAGATACAGAATCACAGGCAATACATTCATATAGTAAATCATTTCTTTCTTTTTTTTTTCTTACTAAATTTCACACAATCCAAGAGTCGCTCAAGGTAGAGACTTAAAGTTGAAATTATCATAATAAATGTCTGAATGAAATAGATGGTAGGATGCGGAGATTGTGAGGATAAAGCGGATCGATAATCCTGGACATAAAGAGGTCAAAATTAAAATGCTCGGGAAAGCACTCACGCAGGTGCCTGTTCTACAAAGTGGTAGATTTTGGTGAAAAGCTGAGTCGAACTTTCTTCTTTTATCTGGAACACACAGGAAAGGACGTGGATTCGGTATGGATGTATCCTTGCTCTAAAGTTTTGAACGAAGAAAACACAAACAATTTAGTTCAACTGGACATTTGCCATCGAAATAGCAATAGATTGGTGACAGTTTTATAAGGCTGCATCCGTGGGAAAGAATCTTCACCGCGTAAGCGGTTCTGAAATCTGTTTACAATTATAACACTGACCCTGACATGCTTTGGTGGAAGTAACTTATACATTTACTTAGCTAATTCTGTGATACTGAGTTAAAAAACATGTACATTTTTACTAGCGAGCACCATATTTTCCTGTACAGAACTTGAATATTCTTTTTAAAAATGACTATTTATCCTAAAGTTTCTCTCAATGTTCAAATTAACTCTGAATGGAGCCTGTTCAAAAACCTGTTTTTATATTATGATAATGTCTGATGATAAAGCTTGTGTAATTATATTATTCTAAGTTTTGATTAGGAACATTATGAAGGCCTTAGATATAATGCCCGATGATAATGCCTATGTAATTATATTGTTTGAAGTTATAAAGTCCTTAGATATAATGCTTGTGTATTTATATTGTTCTAAGCTATGATTAGGGACATTATGAAGGCCTTAGATATAATGCCTGATGATAATGCCTATGTAATTATATTGTTTGAAGTTATGATTGGAAACATTATGAAGTCCTTAGATATAATGCTTGTGTATTTATATTGTTCTAAGCTATGATTAGGGACATTATGAAGGCCTTAGATATAATGCCTGATGATAATGCCTATGTAATTATATTGTTTGAAGTTATAAAGTCCTTAGATATAATGCTTGTGTATTTATATTGTTCTAAGCTATGATTAGGGACATTATGAAGGCCTTAGATATAATGCCTGATGATAATGCCTATGTAATTGTATTGTTTTAAGTTATGATTGGAAACATTATAATGTCCTTAGATATAATGCTTGTGTATTTATATTGTTCTAAGCTATGATTAGGAACATTATGAAGGCCTTAGATATAATGCCTGATGATAATGCCTATGTAATTATATTGTTTGAAGTTATAAAGTCCTTATATATAATGCTTGTGTATTTATATTGTTCTAAGCTATGATTAGGGACATTATGAAGGCTTTAGATATAATGCCTGATGATAATGCCTATGTAATTATATTGTTTGAAGTTATAAAGTCCTTAGATATAATGCTTGTGTATTTATATTGTTCTAAGCTATGATTAGGGACATTATGAAGGCCTTAGATATAATGCCTGATGATAATGCCTATGTAATTGTATTGTTTTAAGTTATGATTGGAAACATTATAATGTCCTTAGATATAATGCTTGTGTATTTATATTGTTCTAAGCTATGATTAGGGACATTATGAAGGCCTTAGATATAATGCCTGATGATAATGCCTATGTAATTATATTGTTTGAATTTATAAAGTCCTTAGATATAATGCTTGTGTATTTATATTGTTCTAAGCTATGATTAGGGACATTATGAAGGCCTTAGATATAATGCCTGATGATAATGCCTATGTATGTAATTATATTGTTTGATTGGTATTTAAACATTATGAAGTCCTTAGATATAATGCTTGTGTATTTATATTGTTCTAAGCTATGATTAGGGACATTATGAAGGCCTTGATATAATGCCTGATGATAATGCCTATGTAATTATATTGTTTGAAGTTATAAAGTCCTTAGATATAATGTTTGTGTATTTATATTGTTCTGCTATGATTAGGAATTGTTCTGTTATGATTATGAAGGCCTTAGATATAATGCCTGATGATAATGCCTATGTAATTATATTGTTTGATGAGTTATAAAGTCCAGATAAAGTCCTTAGATATAATGCTTGTGTATTTATATTGTTCTAAGTTATGATTGGGGACATTAAGAAGGCCTTAGATATAATGCCTGATGATAATGCCTTATGTAATTATATTGTTTGAAGTTATAAAAGTCCTTAGATATAATGCTTGTGTATTTATATTGTTCTGTTATGATTAGGGACATTATGAAGGCCTTAGATATAATGCCTGATGATAATGCCTATGTAATTATATTGTTTGAAGTTATGATTGGAAACATTATGAAGTCCTTAGATATAATGCTTGTGTATTTATATTGTTCTAAGCTATGATTATTGGGACATTATATGAAGGCCTTAGATATAATGCCTGATGATAATGCCTATGTAATTATATTGTTTGAAGTTATAAAGTCCTTAGATATAATGCTTGTGTATTTATATTGTTCTAAGCTATGATTAGGGACATTATGAAGGCTTTAGATATAATGCCTGATGATAATGCCTATGTAATTATATTGTTTGAAGTTATAAAGTCCTTAGATATAATGCTTGTGTATTTATATTGTTCTAAGCTATGATTAGGGACATTATGAAGGCCTTAGATATAATGCCTGATGATAATGCCTATGTAATTATATTGTTTGAAGTTATAAAGTCCTTAGATATAATGCTTGTGTATTTATATTGTTCTAAGCTATGATTAGGAACATTATGAAGGCCTTAGATATAATGCCTGATGATAATGCCTATGTAATTATATTGTTTGAAGTTATAAAGTCCTTAGATATAATGCTTGTGTATTTATATTGTTCTAAAGTTATGATTAGGGACATTATGAAGGCCTTAGATATAATGCCTGATGATAATGCCTATGTAATTATATTGTTTGAAGTTATAAAGTCCTTAGATATAATGCTTGTGTATTTATATTGTTTTAAGCTATGATTAGGGACATTATGAAGGCCTTAGATATAATGCCTGATGATAATGCCTATGTAATTTATATTGTTTGAAGTTATGATTGGAAACATTATGAAGTCCTTAGATATAATGCTTGTGTATTTATATTGTTCTAAGTTATGATTAGGGGATATTATGAAGGCCTTAGATATAATGCCTGATGATAATGCCTATGTAATTATATTGTTTGAAGTTATAAAGTCCTTAGATATAATGCTTGTGTATTTATATTGTTCTAAGCTATGATTAGGAACATTATGAAGGCCTTAGATATAATGCCTGATGATAATGCCTATGTAATTATATTGTTTGAAGTTATAAAGT